AAAAAAATTAAATATAAAAAAAAACTGATAAAAATTTACAACTAATTATATATAGAAATGATTAATGTTATACTCTATCCTTAATATTTTTTTTTAAAAAAAAAATAATTATAAAAGGGTCTGACTATATAAGTAGATTTTAAAAAATTAAATAAAAATATTAAAAAATTTTTTTTAATATTAAGATGATCTTTTTAATTTTTTAATTTTTATTAATAACTTTTTTGATAATATAATTCTATAAATCATTACAAAAGAGTATACAAATAGCTATATATATAACTTTTTTATATTATCTATTTAAAGAGTTTGCCCAAAGGTTCTCTATCAATTATTATATCTAAAATCTTTGCTTAGATGTTTCATTTTAAATTCTTTAAACTTGTATTTATGTTAATATTATTGAATTATATTTAAGTTATTATCTCAAGTTTAGAACTATCTTATCTTTGAGATAAGCCTTCTAAAACTTTCTGTATTTATTTTTATAGCTAACTTAGTATTACTATAATAGAACCAATATTTATAATTAAAACTAATCATTAAACTATTATATTCTTATAAAGTTAAATTTTAATATTTATTTTATAATTATCAAAAATACTTTAGTATATTTTTATTTATTTTTTAAACTTTAATTTAGATAACCAATAGAACTATAACTAGTTTATTAGTATATCAGATCAATCTAATATTATTTTTTTTTAGTTTATTCCAATAATCTGATTAGTAATATCTTTAAGATTTCTAACTTAGAAATTCTTATTCATCCAGATACTTTAATATTGATATCTATTTCATAAAGCTAACCTTTATAGTAGCATAGTTAAAAATTTATGCTACTTTTCTATTTAGGTCTTTCTAAATAGATTTTTTGTTTCTTAATTTTAACAGATTTATATAGTTATAAGAACTTATTTAAAATTTATACCATCTGATGCCAATTTGCATTCTTCTATATAATGTTATACTTATATAAATGCTTTATAACTTGTCAGTTGTACTAATGTGATCATTATTACAAATATTTTAATTTAATTATTAGAAACAATTATTATAATATAAATATTACATAGGTAATTATTCAAATTTTTATTGTTGCTTAAAAAGTTAACAACTTATCTACTTCATTAAATTATTATACTTCAAATATTAAATTTATTATAATTTATAACATTAATTAATTCTTTTATAATTTTAATATAGCAATAATAATTAGAGAATTATAAAAAAATATTTGTACAAATTAAATTATATTTTGATCTTTTAAACTGTAACTTTAAAAGGATTAGATTTCATAACTTAGTTGTTAATTTCTTATTCCTTTATAGACAAGGTCAACAATTCAAGTTTGACTAAAGATAAAATACTTTAGAACCAAAATAAAACTTAAAATTAGATACAAAACTCTGTAAAAATCTAAGTGAAAATACATATTTGATTTAAGGAATTTTTTAAAAAAACCAGTATAACAGAGCACAGGCATTACTATAATAAGAAATAAAAAGAATATTATTAATGTTTATAAAAATAATTGACTTTACCTAATATAAAATCATTTTCAATGACATAAATCTAAATAAGTGTAATTATGAAATCTACTTTTATTTGATAGAGTTTGTATTAAGAATAAAGTAATTCCAAGACCTGTTATCAAAAATTAAATTGATATTATAGAATAAACATTGAAAATCAAAGACTTTAAATAAGGAATCCACAGGCTAATTTTAGGTATACCAATTAGTAGATAAACTGTAGATGAAACCTTTAAAATAGATAATGATTAAAATTGTACAAGTGACTAATTGTAACCTCATTAATATGCAAAATATAATACCTCTTTACATATTTGTAGGTTTTAAGTCTTAATAAAGATTATAAGCCATAAACATTACTCTTTAAACTTGGATTACAACTCATACAAAAGGATTTTCAAAATTCCGGATCGAAACCATCAGATTTAGTCCGGCATTTAGTTAGCATTTAGTAATACAAGTTAATTATTCTGGCCAAAATTATCAGCTGGGCAGCTTTACTTAATGAGTGAGCTATGGTTCATTAGTAAAACTTTTAGTGATCTTGGGCAAAATTATTTAATGACATAAAAGATTGATATTTTAAACAATTCATACTAATATAACATAATTTATATCGCAACGTTAACGATCCCGGCCCTGCCGATCATGATTCCGAAGTATTCCGACCCGGAATTTTGGGGATCCTCCTGTATGAGTTTTTGGATTACGGGTTCACATCGTACACAGCCGGAACCGAACATCATTTATTTCCGTAGAAACGTCATGGACCACGCGTTCTAACTGTTAATCTACATAAGAATGATCATTTGATTTTTTAAATGTATTCCTTATAATTATATATAGGTGCCTAGCGGATGTTAGACCAGTATGTTACACGATATGTTCTACATATCACCAGTTGATTTTGTCATATATATGTTGTAAGAATTTAAGTGGATAAGGAATTATAAATAAAACCCCGTTTCCTAACCCTAATTTAACCAGGAAATCCAAAATCCACTTAAATTCCAGAAATTCCAAATCCACTTAACGTTAAATCCCATTCCCACTTACGACATATATATGTAAATAACCTGAATCTGAATGACCCGTATAGTGATAGTGATTAATGAATAAAATTTTACTCACAGGTTTTCCTTCATACCAGTTCGCAAGACATCATATTATATATATAGACATTCAGTTGCTGCCTGACGAATCATGACATTAGCAGAAATTTTCTGTAATAGGGGTCCTTTAGCGTCATATATCTGCATTCGAATATCATTATCTGAACTTTTCAAATTTATTAAAGTCAAATTGACAAAGTTCACTTCCTCTTTAATATAAAGAGAGGCTCTTTCAACACAAATGCCAAATTTGGATCTATTATAATGACAATTTTTGCCAAAGCATGACTTGCAAGTTCGGTAACTTTTGTATTCTTAGTAGCTAATGGATCAAAGCTTTAATACCGCCTTGCTGCTCGATTACTTTGATCTATTACAAGATTAAGAAATACTTTTGCCACCAATTGTTAAATCGCTTGGCTAGAATTTTTGTCATAACTTGTTTCGCCCGATTAATCACATATTCATCATCACCTATAGGATCTTGTTCGATCTTTAAGCTTTCTCTTGACATTTTCTTTAATTTGAGAATTTGATCTTCAGATTCACTCATTGCTTTCTTATATGTGGTAACATTAGCCAAGGTTACTGTACATCTTAAAATAATGCATTATTCGTCTTCTTCGAGTCTTGCACAAATTTAAATATTCCTTTTAACAATGTTGGATTATAAGTGATCATTTCTTTCATAGCGGGTTTAAACTAGAATAAACTAATCCTTCAATAGCATTTATACGAACAGCCAGTATCCAAAACCATATTTTGAAATAAACCTTTCAAAAGCCTTATTTTCGTCAATTACTGAAATTTTATTACCATTTTGTCTGGAGGATTTTTCATCCACCAAAATTTTTGTTAATGTAACTACTGCTAAACTTTTTAGTTTTTGATGAAATTTGTTGAATATTTTTTGACAATGAATTGCTACTAAGCTCTGTGAACAAGCAACAGATACGTATTATTTCAGTAATATCCTTTTGAACGTCCTCATATCCATATACTTCTAAAATACCTTTACCAAAATGAAAGAACCAATGTCACCATATTCATCTAGTTTTTCTTGTTTATTTTTTTAGTTGAATTTAGCCATTTAATAATAAAATTTGAACTATTTTGTTTAAATAATTCCGTAGAATTTTTATTGTTTTTTGTGCATCTTCAAATAATTTCGTTAAAATTAACAATTAAAAAGGTTTATTTTGGTGAGTTGGAATCAAGGTTACGTAAAATATCTTCATATTCGTTCGATGCTACTAATATTGAATAATTTGGTTTATATACAATTTTTTGTAGAAGGGGTTTATTTCTCGTTTTAACTCATTTTGGTTTATGATCCCTAATTTGTTGATTCCAAGAAAAGAAAAGATTCAATTTATTATTATTTATTATTGCCAGGATCAATGGCATGTATTATACGTAAGTAAATTTAATCACGTACGTACATACTATTCTCTTTACAATCATTAGTCATTTATGCGACGCTTAGGTTTAATTTTAAGCTCACCAATTAATTTATGTGAATCTTTAAATACTTAATTAAATATTATTTATACTTGTGCTAAATTAAAGCGAATAAAATAAATATTAAATATTCATGAATTCTTGATCTACATAATATATGTGGTACGTAGATATTAATGATTTGCAAATTCATATATGTATTCGATTTTTATTAACGTTAACAAAATTTAGCCCTGTTTAAGGTTAGTTTTAGAATTTTGCAAGAAATCTTTTTTTTGTTAAACCCCCAAAAATAATTTTATTAATAAAATTTTGAAACTGGGTACATACATGTAATGTACAAATACAGAATAAAAGGAATGAAGAATTTGCGAGATTAGAACCTAATCCTAAATAGAAATTCTCTTATTTAAAACAGGTAATGTTTAGAATATAAATTATGTTTTTATAATCCGAGTCACCCAGGTAGCAATAATCATGACCCGGTTGATAAATTTTATACGGGTTATCCGGTTGATAAACCTTATACGGTTACCCGGGTGATTCTTATACGGGTATAATCTCTACTCTGGTGGAGGATCAGAAGTGTCAGGAATAGACGTAGAAGGAGTGGATGTATTATTTGAATTATTTGAATCTGATGGCTGTACATCAGAATCCACAGTTTTATCATCAAGTTCTGCTTCATGTACTAAGGAACTTTCTTTTACAGGTGAAGAATTATGAGTAGTTGCCGCGATAGCATTTGCATGAGGAATATTATCAGGAGATGGGTGCTGAACACCAACAGGCCCCTGGGTTCTTCCAGCTTTTGTAAGCGCATAATCACCAGAGTCAAAATATTTCCGTTCCTATTATAATATTAAGAAAATCTTAATACTGAATTCGATAACATCTTTGATCATATATTTGAAATGAGCCGATTAATGGGCAAATTAATGGACAATAATTCCGATAATTTCAATTTATGAAAAAATATGACAACTTTTAAAATTCGCAGCTAGTTAAAATAGCAAGTACCTTTGATTTATGGCTCAAGATATCTTTTCCAGTTGGCAACCTGCCATACATACGGAAAATTTTTTTCTCCTCCTCTGTTAGTTTCTGAAAAATAGAAGAAATAACATTGAGATTCTAGTTTAGTATTTTCCCACGATCCTCCTAATTGCTCAGTTAAAATCTAAATGTTCTAATTATGATTTGTAACTTGACTTACGTCTAGGTCAATCTTGTTCTTTCTGGCTGGGTTCATGTTCTTTCAATTATGACTAATTTCGAGGTAATAACGGGAAACTAGATGTTTTTTTTGGTTTTTTTTTTAATGCCTGCTTCTTTGAAGACTGAATTATAAAAACGACTGTAACACTACATGTCATATTTCGAGTTCGATGTCACATGGCACATAGTACAGTGGGAATATACCAGATTAGTCATAGAAGACATTCATATGTTTGGTAAGTACGGTACTCCCATAACCGACAGATTTTCTCTGATCTACGTCTTTTGACCAATCAGATTACAACGTGAAAATATCATTAACTAGATACCATTAACCAGTAACTCTATTAAACCACCTTCTGCGCACTAGCAAACAGAACTACCCGCAAACCAACCATACTTCAAGATCAGGTGTAATGTAACACGATCAGGAAATTCGGTTTGTAACTCAAAAATCAGTATAGGAAACCACCTTTGGTGCCTTAACAAAAAGTTTTCCTTGTGCGATTTTATTAACCTCAATACAAACACGTTAACCCTAACTTAAACGAGCTTGAAGGTTTTTTGGAACACCGCAAATACGGTCACGTGTCCGTACTATACATGCCACGAAAATAAGTTTTCAAAAAAGACCTATTCGTTAGGGCGTTCAAACATTATTTAGGGTGCATATGAAAATTTTTATGAAAATCCGAAATTACTGCGGCTAATAGCAACTTTTGGTACAGTTTTCTTTCGAACTGACATAATAATTTCTAGTTTAATTTTTTGAAAAAAAAAGATATTAACTTGCTTAGGATAACGTGACAATGGCAGTTTTCGATTTATCATTCTTATGGGTAGTTGATTCTATAAAATAAAAAAAAATAGGCAAAATTGGCATATTCTTAACTCAAAAATCGTACCTTTATTTAAAGAATTAAAAAAATATTAATATAAAAATTAAAACAATGTCATATGTCAAAACAACATTCAAATGATGTAAGCAATTAAAAAATGCACATGAACAACATCGATTTTCTAAAAAGAAAATTTGAATAAGAGTAATAACAATATATTAATAGGTTCATAATCATTAAGTATAAAAATTGATAGTAGTGTGAATAAAATTGATAATAATATATTGATTAGTTCATAACTATTAAATATAGAATATTTATAATCATTAAATAATGTTTAAGAAATTGATATTTAGTAGCAAAAAATTGATAAATTTTTAAAGCATGTAATTAATTTGTTGGATTCAATTCTTATAATATTTATAGATATAATTGAAAAGATTGTTTCAGAACTTTCTCTACTGATCTTCACAACCAAATTTGAAGTAGAAAAAAAACTATAGAAAACACAAAAACTGTCAAGTCAAAGTATAGAAGCTGACTAAGCAAAAAGAAAGTTAATAGGAAATTAGTTATAGTTTGTTAGAATAGTAAAATAGAAGAACAGCAATATAACAGCTTAAAGACAGCCTTTTCAAGATTTTCTTGTTTTTAAAAAATTTTTTAGAAAAAACAGAAAAACACAGAAATCAGTATTGCAGATCATATATGTAATTTGAAAATTAAGGTAAAGTAAACAATAAGCATAATAGGAAATAAACAAACAGACATGTAATCATGCAAATAAAGAAACTTAAGAAGCAATCACATATTTAATATATCTGTCAAGATTATAGAATAATGCAAAGAAATATTATACAGAAGGTTCAATCAGTATTTATAGAAACTGGCTGGTATGATAAGCTAAAAAAATATCAAGACTTGTTTAATAAGTTAAACAAAATATAAAAGGAAATATTAAAGAGTCATAAACTAAAAGTCTTAAGAAAAAATAAAGAATTAGCTAAACTTATTGGCACTAAGTCAGTACTAGTCTGTGTATTTAAAAATTTAATAAAGATATATAACTACTATGAATATATACAAGTAAAGGACAATGAAAAACTATAAAAAGATAATGATCAGCAAATAAAGAAGACAAAGATGAACAAAGAAGTATTGATAGAACAAAAATATGATTGTTTAGATTATAATATTATAGAAAAACAAACAGCTAAACTCAAGTTAAATGCAAAGAAAGAAGAGGAGAATAGTATTAAAGAAGAAAGCATACAAGTTGAGAATAAAATAAAGGATATGAAGTTGAATAAAAAGTTGAGCAGAAATGAAAAAGAGAGCAATAAGAAGATAAAAGAAATTGAAAAAATAATTGAAAGTAGAGAACAAATGCAAGAAAATGTAAAGAAAAAAGCAATATATATATAAGAATCACTGATAAGATATAAAAACAGAAATAGAATAAATAGTATCTATACAATGTGAAACATTTTAGTTGAAATTTATGTAACACGAATAAGAAAGTGTCTTTAATTTTATGATAGAATTAGATTTATAACTTAAAAAAACTGCAAAACTAGCAAAGCTATAATATTTTCAGTTAGATTTAAAAAAGAAAAAAGAAAAACAATGTTAGATCAAACATGGTCAATATATTTCAAACATGGTCAATATATTTCAAAGAAGATAAAACCTATAAAATAACTTCTAACACCTTTGTAAGAGAAATGTTAAAGAAAAAAGTAATATATAAAGCTATAGTTAGAAATATTTCAATGACAGCAATAGAAGTATTATTACTAAAACAACATAAAGCAGTTAAGACAAAGGCAGTTTATATATTAGTAAACAGAAATAGGAACTAGCGAAAAACAGCATCAATGTATTTTGAAACAGAAGAAGACCTTAGGTTTGCTACAGAAAGAGAAGTATACTACTATAATACAAGATTAGAGTAAAGTATCACAAGATTCTTCAAGATTGATAAAACAGAAAGAAAAGAAGTAAAAGAAGTAAAAGAATGCCAGTTAAACAAAAATACACAATATAAGAGGTTTGTAAAAGTCAAAGAAGAAGTAAAGAGAAGTAAGACTGACAAAAAAAATCAGAAAAGAAAAGATAATGTAAATAAAAAGAAATATAGAAACAATACTCGATTAGAAGCAACTATGATTAAAGAGCCAAAAAGTAATTTGCAAGATACTTTTGACAGAATTTTAAAAAGACTAGATGAAATAGAAGAAAGACAATTAGGAAGTATATTCCCAAATCATTTCTGAAAGTTACTATAGATATTATTCAGGAAAAGACAACTACTTTGTCAAATAAATTTAACAAAAATGGTAACAGCATAACAAAAATTAAGATAGTATGTCACAATATAAATAGGATAAAAAACAATAAGATCAAGCTTAAGTCAATAGTCAAATAGTCAAAAGAAGAGAAAGTTGAGGTTTTAGGATTAGTAGAAACAAACTGTAATGGTAGGAATCATAGGTTTAATTTAGAAGATAAGTATTTTAAAGGATTATAAACAAGAGGTAGTTATGAAAAAGAAAGGTTTAAGTATTGGGCTATTAGTAAACCAAAAATAGAAGAAACATATAGAAGAAGTCTATAGATTTGAAGAGTATTTGGTCAGAGCAAGGTTTTACTTCAGTCAAGTAGAAATTATAATAATAGTAGTATATATTCCTTCAAATGACAAAAATACAATTAAGAAATTACAACAAATAATAGTTAAGATGTATATAGAAAGAACATGCAACTCACAGTTTATAGTTATAGATAATTTTAATCATATAGTTAGTAGTGAATTAGACAAATTAAGTAGTAGTAGTAGCAGTAACTTCAAGACTCTTTCATTACATAAATGGTTATTAAAACAGAGATTTGGTGATATATATAGAATATATAATTCAGAGCTAAGAGGTTACATATGATCAGAACAAGGTGTATAAACAAGAATAGACCAAATATAGGTTTCAGAAGATCTACAACTAGGTGTAAAGCAAGCAGAAATTATCAATCCAGAGTTTATAACAGCTAATGATCATAGCATTGCTTTTTTTTTTTTTTTTTTTTCTTTTAAAGCCGATGTTATTGGTTGTTACTACCTTTATTTGTGTTTTTGGTCAATGCATTACATGTGACTTGTACAAGGTAAGTGTGCAACTAGCCACACGTGTAACTTTTGGTTACCTATTTAAGTAGTCTGCCCAAGGGTTCTACACTAGCTGCCATGCCTGTAATCTGCTAGGAGGGTACCTATTTAAACACTCTGATCCTTATATTACATCCAGACGAGTAACACCTGGTTCTTGTACAACTAAGTGCCGTCTAATCCAACATTTGGCTTTCCTCTTTTGTACGTCTGTCAAGCCATTAAACATTTCAGAATACATCACCTAACTGTAAGATTCCGGAGTACCCCCTTGTTAACTACCTACTTACTCTACAGAACATTAACAAGGCTAGCCCTTGTAGAGTTCACCCAAACCCTAGCACCTACTTCATAGCATATCCCTAGTACTTATAATATACCCCTGCTTTGACTTCAGAATTCCAATCCAGATAGCCTAGTAGGACTGTGACCTGTCCTTGGTATATTGAGCCAGCCCGATATCCTTTTCCTCCAGTTCGGTTCCAGCAGCCTGGTTGGTAATACCCCTCATCTGAGGTTCTTGCCTGTCTGGCTCCTCCACATTGGTATCCGTTTCCTAGGTCTAGCTTTTACAGTGGTACCATCGAAGATCTGTATTACCTCTCTACTCGGGTCTTTCCAAGTGGACTCCAGTTTCCCAGTTCTACAGATTTACATAGCCACAAGGACTTATTTTAGGTTTGCACTGCCTAGTACTAGTTTGCATTCCTCTGTGTAATCAAGATTACACAGATGCCCCGTGACCTGCCAGTCATGCTGGTGCGACCATAGTTACAGGTATCCTATCCCAACTGATCGACAGAATGCCATCACCATAATACCATCTATGTATTACATAGGTGATTATTCAAATTTTTGCCATCAGTGGGTTTTGAACTTACAACCTACCACTTGGAGGGTTGACAACTTATCTATTTCACTAAGTCACCACACCCCTATCATAGCATTGCTTATGCATTATTATTTTTCAAACATTTAGTTAAGACATAAAGCATAGCAAGTATGAAGAGAAAAGATATAACAAGAACAATCTAT